GCGCCGCGCCGGCGGCCCGGCCCGGGGCTGGCCCGGCCCGGCCCCCGCTCGCCCCTTCTCCTCTGTCCCTGTCCCTGCTCCTCTGCCCCTGCCCCTTCTCCTCTGCCCCCGCTTTCTCGCCTTCTGCCGCCTTTCCTCCGTCTCCCAGGCCGCCTTTGGCTGCCTCCCCTGATCCCCCGCGGGGAGGGACTGGGGGCTTCTGGCATTGCAGAGGCTTAATTGACTAGCAAGGTCACTAATTTCGGCTCCTGGAGGTAAGTCCTGGTTAACGGCTCATTTTCCTCTCTCCTTCGGTTCTCACACCCCTCTCCCATCTGTCTGTTTCATTTTTCATTTTCCTCTCTCCTTCGGTTCTCACACCCCTCTCCCAGTCTCTCTCATTCTCTCTCCAGTGCCATCAATCAACCCTTCCCCCCCCCCAGGGTCTACCCGAGTCACGGCACCAGCGATGCCCCAAAACCCAGAAAGATGAGTCAGCATTTTGCCTCCCACTAGCCCCAGTAACCCAACCGCGATCTCATCTGCTCCTCGCCCTCCGGCTCCGCTGCTTTGAGAAAAGTGGGGAACAATAGGATTGCCGGAGCGCTCCCTGACTCCACCATTGCGGGGCTAGGGGAGGAAGGGGAAAGGGTGGTGGGAGGAAGGAAGAGATCCTTTCTCCCCTGCTTTGGGAACACGCCTCCAGAGCAGCCGGAGGTGAGGGGGGTGCTCAGTCCCCATCAGCCTCTGTGCAACTTGTAGCAATAGCAGCACGCTGGGGAAGGGGAGGGGGGCAAGGGTGTGTGTGATGGGGGCTGTTGCTCCAACCTGATCGAGTCCATTTGCCAATTCACCAGTCGCATCACTTCCGGATCAGTCCTCAGTTTCTGCTGCAGAGTGAGGATTTTTTTTTTTTTTTTCTCTCTCCTTCTCCCTCCCTCCCCATCTGGATGCTGGGAACTTGAAACCTCCTCCCTTGATTGCAGCAGGATCTGCCCCAACCTTCCCTTAACTTTGCGCTGCATCAAAGAAAACAGAGCGAGCCACAGGCTATATTGTACCGATGGGGGCAGGGGATCTGCCAGGCACAGCCCTTTGCAATTGATGTTGCCGTATCTCTAGGACCCAGAGCGATCTCTCTCTCTTTTTTTTTTCCCCCTCTCTCTCCTCTTTTCGTGTGTGTGCTTGTGTGTGTGTGAAGGATCCTCCTGGTTACCGCTGTTATTATTTTCCCTTAGCAGGGAGACCACACGAGCCATGGCTGAGAGGAAGCAGTCTGGCCGGCAGGGCGAGGAAGAAGAAGTGCCGGCCTTCTTCAAAAACCTGGGCTCAGGCAGTCCCAAGCCCCGGCAGAAATTCTGTGGCATGTTCTGCCCGGTGGAAGGCTCCCTGGAGAACAAGACCATCGACTTTGACTCCCTCTCGGTGGGCCGCGGATCTAACAAAGTCGTGGCAAAGCAGAAGGATGTTGCCCACCTGGGTCCGGATGCTCAGTCCGTCTATTCCAGGCAGAGCGGGAAGGGAGGGGAACCATCTGTTGATTTCGGGAGAAAGGTGGAGATCAGGAGTGCCACTGGGAAGGAGGCGCTGCAGAACCTGAATGACAAGGTGGGGACTCCCTCTCGGTGGGCCGCGGATCTAACAAAGTCGTGGCAAAGCAGAAGGATGTTGCCCACCTGGGTCCGGATGCTCAGTCCGTCTATTCCAGGCAGAGCGGGAAGGGAGGGGAACCATCTGTTGATTTCGGGAGAAAGGTGGAGATCAGGAGTGCCACTGGGAAGGAGGCGCTGCAGAACCTGAATGACAAGGTGGGACATATGCTTGTGTGTGTGTGAAGGATCCTCCTGGTTACCGCTGTTATTATTTTCCCTTAGCAGGGAGACCACACGAGCCATGGCTGAGAGGAAGCAGTCTGGCCGGCAGGGCGAGGAAGAAGAAGTGCCGGCCTTCTTCAAAAACCTGGGCTCAGGCAGTCCCAAGCCCCGGCAGAAATTCTGTGGCATGTTCTGCCCGGTGGAAGGCTCCCTGGAGAACAAGACCATCGACTTTGACTCCCTCTCGGTGGGCCGCGGATCTAACAAAGTCGTGGCAAAGCAGAAGGATGTTGCCCACCTGGGTCCGGATGCTCAGTCCGTCTATTCCAGGCAGAGCGGGAAGGGAGGGGAACCATCTGTTGATTTCGGGAGAAAGGTGGAGATCAGGAGTGCCACTGGGAAGGAGGCGCTGCAGAACCTGAATGACAAGGTGGGTACATATATGTATGTATGTGTGTGTGTGTGTGTGTGAGATGCAACTTGAACACACGATAGGCTGCGGAAGGGATGTATCCTTTCCACCCTGCAGTTTCTTGCTTTTATGTCACTTGCATGTATGTGGCAATGTCTTCCTCTAAGCAGCAGCATCTCTCCTAGAGCCTTCTTGCCAGACCTCTAATGTTACCCGTGTGCTCTCTGCAGGTGTGTGTGTATGTGCACAGGGAGGAGGGCAGAAGAAGAAAGGAGCCCCCGCACCCACAAACACCCTCCCTTTCCCTGCCCTGCCCTGCCTTCCTATTTGGTGATAGAGACCGACTTTTTTGTTTCTTAGGCGATTCCCCCTAGTACAACGGTAGCAAAATGCCCCACCCAGCTAGTGAATGCAGCTCACGGGAACAGAAATGCAATTGTTAGCAAAAGAGCATCAATGAGCCTCCACCTACGGGGACCAAATCCCTGCAGGCTTCTTCCAGGGGAAACTCCTACCCCCTCCTCCCAGGGAAGGACAGACCAGAGTGACCCCTGGGAGGTGTATTTCAATAGCAATTCTGATCAAGGCCTTTGGCTACAGTGGGAATTTTTGACTCGGGAAGATCTGGGACTTTCACAGGAATGTGGCGTTCTCTTAGAAACCGACCGAACTCCTCCCAGTCTTTTAAGACTCCTGAAGCTATTTTCTCACTCTCGGTATGTGTCATGGTGTAGTAAAGCCTATCCTCTTCCTGAGGCAAAACCCACTCAACCCACAGATCTAGCTGACCATGCACATTTGTTTTCCTCGATAAATAGATTTAAGCAAGCTTTATTCAGATCTGAGCCATGAAATACTCTGTGAGTTCCTCTGACAATGCTGGCTTCTATGCATAGGCTGGAAGAGCGGAAATGATTGAAGCACCAACCAGCAAACTGATAAACTTCTAGCATACTGGGAAAGAATTTCTGTGAGTAGTCCCCCAGCGGGTTTACGGAGCAGTCCGTTCTTCTGGAAAGTGTTTCTAGGATGTGCCTCCTGATTTTTATTAGTAGTATGGATTGCATATACAGGGCAGAAGTCTACCTGGAATTTATAATATGGGCTTGTTTGCCACTTTCTCCTGCTTTCAGAAATGTGAAATACTACCAGGAGTATTACTGGGGGCTCATCCTCCCCAGATCAGACCCTGCTCTACTTCTTCCTACTACAGTAACCTAAGGGCTCCATCCAGCCATGTTTGCATGCGTGAACAACTGCCATTTACAGTGAGATCACAAAGGTAGGCCCTGATTGTCGGAAGAACTATGCACCAACCTTTAATTAGGAGTGGGATATGCTCCATGCCGCTTCAAACCTGATTTGGCAAACAAAAGTTTGCCACTACAGATGTCTATGGTTTGATTTGACCATGTTGAAGTGCCTACTAATTGAGTAACTTTCTGTGATTAATTAGTCTTGTTGGACTAACCAAGGTGCATCTCAAGAGTAAAGGGCATATACCTTTTCAGCTTGAGGAGTCAAAGGTTTTGTAATTCAGGACATTTTCAGGACTAATTTTGGACAATTTGATGCGGTGATATCCTGCGGGACATAAATATAAACGGGTGATACATTAATTCTGAAAAGATGACTTATTTTGTGATTGAAGGGTACCAGTATAATAAAAAACTGTAAGTATAACATGGTGAAAAATCAGAAGTCCATAGAGAATATTAATCACATTTTTTTAAAAAGTGTGTTTTTTGGTTCTATTTTTAAAGATTGTAGTATAAATGTTAACTGAGGGTATGAAATAATGTGATAGTGCAAAACATTTGAGTTGTTTCTCATTAGCTTTACGTAACACTGATGCCAATGGATTACGTTGTGAGGGGCTGTGAGCATTTGGGTAAGTGCAGTCTTTTATTATAAATGTCTTGCTATGGATTGGCACTTTATTGCAGGAGTATTTTAGCTTTGGTTTTCCAGCTGACTGCATCTATAGCTTGAATCAGTGGTTAGATCCTCAGCAGGTAAAACTGGCTTTACTTCAGTGTAGTTAATAGAAATGTGTTTATGATGATAGTCAACATATTAAAAAAAAAAGGTAAAGAAAAATAATGTTGCAGGAAGTGGTATTAAAGGAAAACAGTGCATTAAAATAATTTCAGATAGGAGTTAAAAGTCTTCTGAAGTTTTGCAATGGAATTTGGCCCATTATTTTCAAACTTCTGTCTTAAGCATTTAATAACACATCTGAAATAGGTTCTCCTTGGATAGACTGTACCCTATTTCCATGTGATAGGAATCTAAATTATAGTGGAAAGGAACAGTATGCTAATTTATAGGATCTTGAATTTATATCTTGCATAAATTATTTCACAATAGGCTAGAAATCTTACTGCTTCTTTTTCTTTAGCTTGAGGCTGGCAATAGTTGCAGTTTTTGTCAATACATGTAATAATCAATGTACAGGATGGTCCATGCTCTGTTTCAGCAACCAAAGGACCATATCGTGAGCTGATGGGAATGGGTGCCGATCAACTGGAGGCAATGGAGATAGGTGCAAGTATTTTAGCCAGTGATTGGATCCAAAGTGGGTTTAAAACAGTCATCCTTTCTGTCACTGTATAGAAAGATCTTGTATTAATCTCCACTGAAATAATTAACAAAGCAAGATGGACAAGCTATTTTTCATTTTTCTGAGGTCTTAACTGTCCAGAGGATAAAAAAAGGAATGTAATTATTCCACATTAAATTGCAATATATTGTTCTGCAGGCAAATATAAGGGTAATCAAATCTCTTTGTGTCTATCCTGTCTAGGGTATTCTACAGGCATCTATCATGGCCTCGCTTTATTGCCTCTGGGCCATGCTGCCTCATAATTCAGGGTTAAGATCATCTCTAGAGGCACCAGGAAGGCTCTCTATCTTAGTTTAAGCAGCTCTTTACAGTTAGGCCTCTGGAGGCAGCGTGATCTATTCAACAGGTCTGCAACTCAGCAGATCTGAGGCAAGCTCTGCTACTTCCCAGCTGTCAGGCCTTGGAGAATTAACTGTGCTTCTATCTCCCATCTTAAACTTTGTCATCTTCCCTGTTTAGACTGTTAATGCCTGGTCCTGCAGCTACTTGTTCAATGTCTGAGCTCTGCTTAGTGCTTTGGGGCCCTGACCTCAGCTGGGCCATCACTGCAGTCTAACAAGAATGTCATGTTCAAACCCAGGATTTCTTGAATGAGACAATAAACACTTGGCCTGGCTTTCATGAATTACTGTGCATGTGCAAGCCCATTTCCTACAGTGGGATTTGGTATTCAGATAGCATCAGGGCAGGGACCTGTGGAATTTATTCATAGCACTGCTTTGTAGTAGTCAGTGCAGAAGCTGCAAGCTACCTCGTCTCAGAGCAGGGGGACTGATAAAATGGCTTCCCAGGGCATTAGTCATCTATTCCTTAAATGAACGGTCTTGAGACACATGCATTCATCTGGGTTTTGAAAAACCCTGGCCATTGCTTGCTTGACCTGGGTCATTTCTCTGTGTGTATTTCCCAGATTTCCCGCGTGTATAATTGGTATTCCTTCTGTCTTCCTCATCTGTTGAGATACTTCAGGACAGAGACGGTCTTTTAGGGAACATCTATAGGGAAAAGCAAGGTTTGATTGCAAGAGGGATCAGCAAGCCTGTGGCTTGCTTTAATCTAGTTTGCATAGAGAGCCTGAGTAGGTGCTAAGACATTTCAACAAAAGTACAAGCCCTGGGATCCCAGGTTTCTTCTTAACTTGCTAGCTAAAGTTCCCATTGCCATCTTGTCGTTACTCTAGTGATTCAGGTGGTTCCCCTGTGCAACAAACAGTCACCTTTATATACCTTTTTTTGCAGCCCTTAGAAACAGTTCATGGACCTTTGGGAAGTGCAGAGCACTGGGTGTAAACTACTGATTTAAAACAACAAAGCTCTGTCCTACTGTGATAAAAGTAACAATAATGAATAAACAGAGACTAGGAAAATATTTTTATTTTAGAATTGACGGGAGACTAATCACTTGCAAAACACAGTTTCATGAAGCTTTTGACATGACTGGACTTTTTGCTAAAACCTCAAAGCTCTCAAGATCATGGTTGTTCATTCCTGGAGAGAAATAATGAATAACAGGACATTGTTGAGAGCTCAAATAATCATAGACTCTGGAACATTAATGGAACTGTTGCGTAAAACAAAGCAGCTGTTCCAGACAGTTGGAAATGCAGTTCTGAGTTTAATTTGTTATGATGCCTGTAATTTTTCTAGCCTTGTTTCGACAATCATTGCTTGCAAAATAATCATGCAGGAGGACGACTTGCATGTTCTTCCAATGGATCATAATAGTTTGTCTGACTACTGAAAAATAAACCCATAGAGAAACTAACAATGATAAGCACAAATGCCAAATGCCTCTTAACTTCTTAGATCCCTCTCAAAGCCATCAATCTGCATAGCTGGAATGTGATGTCCATCCAATGGGCATCTTGTGGAGTCGTCTGTTAGTGTTATGTCAGGAATTTACCAATACCACTCTCTCTCATGCAGAAATGTGCAAGGGGCTTTGATACAGGGCCAACTTATTATTTGGGCTAAAGACTGGAGGGAAAACTTAAACACCTGGGGCTGGATCTCCCCACCCAGTTTGGAGTTGAGCCAATTCAGAGGTCTGGTCTTTCAGCAGCACCATGCGATGCAGGCTTTATCCCAGGGGATAGATACAGTACCTGGCACAATGAGACTGGCAGCTTTGCATGCCACCCTTATGCCAGTGCTGTGGCCATCATTTGACATGAGCCATCTGGTTTTAGTAGGTGCTGAGCAGTTGTTTAGGTCTGCCTGAAATTTTTTACCTGCAGGACTGTGTCTAAGTCCCCGTATCACTTGTGTGTCTTGTGGCACATGAAATCTGAGTCTATCTTCTGTGGTGGTGTTATAAAGTTGGGAAATGATGTAGGCAGCAAAGCTCACGTGAAGTTGATGTGTGTGTTCTGCATGAACTCTCTCACCCTAAA